CGCCCCCGCGCCGCCTCCCGCCAAAACAGGAATAAATCAAATTACTGTCATCGTTAACAACGTGGCTCCCCTCGCGGTGACAATGAGCTGCGGGGGCTGGGGGGACGCGGGAGGAGAGGGACCATCAGCCGCGAAACGCGGGGTCTCCTCGCGGGTCCGGCCCGGCACACGGGCGGGGAGAAAGGAGGGAAAAAAAAAAGACTGGGGGGAATAAAAACAAAAAGGTGGGTGAAAGTGGCCCAGGAAAGGGGGGGAAATCATTCCCCGTGGTTGCGGAGCGGCATTGCGGGCTAAGGGCGCCCGGAGTTGCGAGGGGAAACGGGCGCGTCCTGCGCGCGGGCTGGCCCCGTAAATCATGAGCTATCGGTTATCAAATTCCAGCCCGAGCTGCTACGCCCCGTGCTGAATTAAACGTCGGGAGCCTATTGGGTGCTGCGTTATTGGGGGGGGATCTAATTCTGTTATCAATAAATACAGTTTTAAGAAATGGTTTCTAATTAAGCATGACATTAGCACATGGGCTGTTTGCAGAGAGAGCAGGGCTATTGTTTCGGCGAGGAAAGTGGCCTTATGCAACGACTGCTTGTGATGATCAAAGTTCGTCTTTATGGGTTTCTCCCCGAAAAAGGAATTAGAACATGCCAATAAATTTATCAAAGCCCGTGGAGCCCATGCTAAGGGGCTAAAGCCGCTTTCCTCACACGAAAAAAAAAAAAGGAGGAGGAAACTGGGGTATCTGGATGTGATTTTTTTGCTGAAATGCCATCCCAAATTACAGGATCAAATATTACAACAATATATTCGCTGACAGTTTAATGATTACAGTTTCGTGTTGCAAGGATAATGTTCAGATGAACTTACCTATTTCGGGGGGTCATTTTGAAATCTCTTGCAAATTATACTTGGGGAAAATAGTGAATTTATTGCAGCCTTCATCTGGCTAAATTAACCACAGAAAATTGCTGGTTATGTTCAGCAGTTTTGCAATAAACGCACGCATTCCCCAAAGTGGAGGATTTAGTCAGCAGTTCGGATCCGCTAAAACCAGGTCGATTCTTTTAACTTGATATAAAATAACACAGAGGCAACAGCAAGAATAAACTAATTTGCTGCCTGCAAGCCCCTGGTTGCTGCAAGAACATGACCTAAAATGTTCTTTTGATTTCCCCCTTGCTGCAGTTGTGCTCCGGCGTTTGTGCCCGGATACAGGGGGCTGATTTGGGAAGCCTCCTTTGCACACAGATATTTCACAGTACAAATCGTTTTATTCTACTTTCAAGGATCTGCGAATTAATAGCATTGCTATACTTGGTGAAAACCAAATGCCATCTGGTTCAAATCCTTAAACCAGCCCAGACATTTTTTTTCTTTTCTGTAAAACTGATTCAGCACGATCCACGTAGAAAAACATAAAAACAAAAGAATGCATCTCGTAAGAGTATTTACTTAGTTATGCAAAAAAAAAGGAAAAAATATATTAAAGAAATTTGGGTCAGGGAAAGGATCATTTCTGGTTTTTTTTTTCGCTTTGCTGCAACAGTTAACCTTCAGTAAAAGTGTTCGCTAAATATTTAAGAAAATCAAGTAGACGGTGAAAATTATTTAATCGTAAATATCTCCGTGGGATTTTAAACTTAACAGTCCTCTCTATATGGAATATGTGTAGAAATAACACAAATAAAAGTATTATGCCACACTACATTTACTTTATGGGTTTAGGGTGCATGCATAAAGGGATCATATTTCCCCATATAGTTAAAACACAAGAACTGCAGCAGTAGTCATTTCTGAACATTTCTCAATTTAATTATACTTAAATCCAGAAGCACTTTAGGCAAGTTACAAATGAGAGCATTGAGTATAATAAAACCTGTAATAAAGCAACTTAGTACCATCCACCCGGAATCATTGAGATCAGGCACAATTAACAGGAGCATAAATCCAAGACAGAATGGAAAATGTTAGAATCAGTATTATTGTTGGACAAAGACTAGAGAAGGAAGTAATAGTTTTTTAAATGGTAATGCCTGCGTTTTGTAACGATTGCGAAATCTTCTATCTCAGCAGCCACTGGTGTTAATTTGTAAACACAGCCAGACATTATATTGCCTGTCAGTTTTGCGCGCATTAGAAACATGATTTCACTCGACTTTCTAATCACGTTTGGACCCGGGCGCACAACGCGCGCCCGCGGGAAGCGCCGCGGCGCTACCTGCGCGCTAACGGACGG